AATGTTACATGTTGTCTTCGTGGCATGTTCTAAATAAAAGTCATATCCGTATCGGAAAGAACTTACCCAGCAGGCACATCAACGTTGTTTCAACGTTGAATTATGGTCAGATTTCAACGTTGAAATAAGGTTGTATTTATATTCGGATTTGAAAGTTGAAACAACGTTGAAATTTCAACGTTGATACAACGTTGCAGTTTCAACGTTGGCACAACGTTGAAGTTTCAATGTCATTTCAACGTTGAAAACCCACCATACTTTAATTTTTTGATATAAAACAAAGTAACCAAGTTTAACAAAATATCAAGACAAAATTAAATACTTCAGATATTTTATTTCAAAAATACAGTTCAAGTGCAGCTTAAATTCACTTTAATAGTTTTAACAATTAAACTACAATCTGTTCCAATCTTTTCTTCTAGATCTTTCTGGGTATGTCAAGTGTTTGAGTACTGCTTTGGCTGTCTCTTACTGCTTCTGCAAATAAAAATAAGAAGTTTGTAGTTAAAAGTGACTTGGTCAATCTCAAATTATACATATAATTACTCAACTTAGTGATTTGTTTTTATCTTAAAATGCTTTTCTCTAAGATTTACATCATAAAACAGCATAGAAATTGAAACATAGCTAAGTTTCATATTGACAGCAAATACTGTATATAAGACAACAAAATCTTTTTAAAAAGAAGCTATTTAAAAGTCTCACCTATGATTGGTAATAAAATAATACATAATAAAATAGAAATAGATTTATTATTCCCCATAAATTTACGACTATTAAACTTTAAAGTTTAACACTCAAATTTGTTATTTAACTTAATAATAATGTATTTTTTTTTTCAAACTAATTAACACTGTATTATACTATCACTAAAATATAAACATAGTTATATATATAGACGAATCGTCTTGGTACGTAAATTATGTGGGCCGAACTACTTTATAGGTTTCAATTTTATAATTGATTAAATTGTAATTAGGATAAAGTACAGACAAATTTTAATAATATGATAAATAAATTAAAAAAGACAAGATTTTTAACATCATAAATTGCCAAGGACATCAATAACTCCATGCTTACAATGCCTACCGATCCCAAATCTTTCAATTAGGTCGCGAAAACGTGTCAAATCAACTCAATCATGTGTTTTCATCTCTCATTTAATTTATAAAGTAAATTAAAGTAGAATTTTAAGAATAAATAATAATATTTTAGAAAATAATCAGTAAACTAAAGTAAAACATTACGGTAATACCTCCGAAATCCAAATAAATTGCCAATCGTGTTGTTTTCAAATTTTCCAAACAGCGCCACCATTTGCACGAACGATAATCATAGACATCAAACAAAATCATAGACCGCAACAATTACTTCCCCTGACCAGCGTTATTTTATAAACGGGGTTTTGACTAATATCAATTTATTAATTAATATTATTCATAAAGAACTAAAAAATAAAACAACAAACAACAAAACATATTAACTAATATTTAAAGCGTTAATAGAAAGTGAAAAATTATTTCCAACTTTATTTGTTTCAGCGCTAATTTTGAATATACGGAAAAAGATTGTAACGCAAATTTTCCTGACAAAAATCACTTACAGACTAATTCAATAAAGGAATAATAACACAAAATTAGTGGTATAAAAGTTTATATAATGATTAAACTAAATGTAAAACTTCGACCATAAACAACGTTGAATCAACGTTGTATATACATTGGCTATATATCCGTATGGTCGTCCATAGTTGAATATTGGTTGAACAACGTCACGACCATATTTCAACGTTGTTTCAACGTTGAAACAACGTCGAGTGCCTGCTGGGTACCGAATATAACTTTTATTTTATAAATTGCCGGTTGTTTCTAAATACGGCTAATATACGTACGAATGATTTTCATCGGATAGGCCTAATATGATTGAAACTGCGTTGATTCCAAAATGGAAAGTAGCTGGATTTGTTATTTGAGAAAGGGAATGAACAAATTGTCTGCTAGTCGGCCATTTATTTCTTCATTTTTATCCCTTAACTTTTTCCCTTAAAAGTTAAGGGAGCTCATGGGGTACCTTAATATTTAAGGGAAAAATCGACCAAAGTTAAGGAATTTTTATCCTAAGGAGTTTTATGAATAGAAACTAAGGAAATTCTTAAAAACTAAGGGAAATCTTACGTTTTTTAAGGGAAATCTTAGAATCTAAGGGAATTTTTTCCCTTAGGAGCTTTATGAATACGGCCCCTGAACTTGGCGTATACTATAAAAAGCTAAGGTACGCCTCTAAAATTTGGGATGACAAATGCTGGTTTTAGTTCGATTTAAAATAATCAATTTCGAAGAGGTTGTTTGTATGTTTCTGTTATTTGAGTAAAAGTATTATTGGTAATTTATTTGCAATTAAGCATATTAAGATATGATGAGACCTTAAAACACTAAATAACTGTATACAGTAACAGGAACCAAGTTTTTAGTTTATATAAGGAAATATTGCTGTATTGTGTTATGTTAATTGACTGCGAAGCGGCTTAGTCTTATATAATTTTGAATTAGACGCATGGTTTAATGCGGAATGACACGATTGAGGTTTATATTATTTCACACATTGCATGTCCCTCTCCCTTATGTCCACTCCGGGTTTTGGTTTGGTGCCTTCTGGGTGCCCTGCTTTGGTGTGTCGGAGACTGCGTCCTGTGAACGTTGCCTTTGCCTTGTTGATCTTTATTCTTCAAGTTGTCTTTTATTCTGCAAGTCGTCAATAAAAATACAAGTACATAATTTAAACATTTACATACATCAACTTTACACTTCATTACCAATTTAAAAATTCCGGCTTTGTTGCAAAACTTTTTTATTTACATTTTCTTCAAATGGAATGGCATACAAATATATGGACTGTGTAATTGTCTGTAGTTTACCGAGATTTAATATTGTGGAACCATGAAAAAATTAAATCATGCGTATACGCGTTGTCTCCACCTTAAAGTGAATTAATTTGCATTTAGACAAAATAGTGTCGGTAAAAGAGCTGTTGCATTGTACTGTCGTACAACATCTGATTTTTTTAATTTATCAATTTGTTGACTTTTAGAAACTAGAAACAAGTTTCGTTTTTGCAGAAATTTACCTTTAAAGTTTTTTGTATTTTTTGTATTTTTCTTTTGAGATGGAATGTATAGTGCTGTCCGGCCTAAATCTGGTTTAAGAATCTTTAATAGCCATCTTTAATATAGTAAAGCGAGTTCACACGTGTGCTGTTGTATTGTCTTTTCGAATAAAAAAGGGGGTATAGAAATAGGATTCGTCCGTCGGTCTGGGAAAACATCCAATGGTCTATGAGCTTCATTCCGTCCTTGAACTTAGTTAAAATGAAGAAAATCCCGACTGGTTTATGTGGTAATTTTACTGCTTTATATGAAAGTACCGCATTAATCAAAGAAAAACACATAGGCACCTTATGTTGGCAATTCCATCTGTCCGTCCTCCACATTTTCGTGTCTGCTTCATTACTATGTCATTTATCAAAGGAATTTGAAGAAACTTGGCACAAGTGTTTATTATAATAAGATTTGATGGTATATGTCATGTCCGGTCCCATGAAGCGATTTTGAAAACACTTAACACAATGTTCACAATAAGGATACGTTGTGTTATGCCAAACAACCATTTGCCTACCTTTAAGGTCAAGGTCACAGTCGGAGGTCAAAGATTAACATAATCTGTTTCAATGTATAGTTTATGTATATAAAGTATCACCCTATCAATATATATCAATATATCAATAAATATTGATCAGAAATCTATTTATCATAAAAATGTAAATATCTGTTTTATCTAATACTACGTCTTTCTCTAATTTTTATATAATAACTTCCCTTTTGTAGACTTTCTGTTTTATATAACCTTTTTCTTATGGATACTTTGTTTATTTTTGTTATTGCTTTAAAGTTTGTAAGATATAAATTGATAATACTGAATAAATTGTATTATATTGTTTTATAAAAGCAGGCAATATTCTCTAACATAATGAAGACAAACCCTGTTAACCACTTTTCTACATGTTCTATGAAGAATTACAAACAAAATCATTTATTTCTCAATTTTGAAGTATTATAAAAAATTATGACCAATATCAATGTCTTCATAACAATATTTTCAATTTGATATAAGTTTAAATATGCCATTCATAAACATTAATGAAATAAGATATTTCACAACTTAAAAATTTTTTTTTTAAATTTTTTTTTTACTTAAATGATATTTTGTTTGCAAGGAAAAACTTTGATTTTCCTTTATTCTGCTGCGAGAGGGACCCCATGGTAAATAAGAATCGCAAATTTTAGTAAACAAGGTTGATCATTATTATAATAAAGGGTTATGAAAACTTTATCTTGTACAAGACGGAAACAGTTTTATTGAATTGATATAAAAAATATTTTCAACAGAAAAAGTACTTTTTGAGATTTATTTCGAAACTAGTATTATCATAATAAATTATGTTGAATGTTAGTACGAAGAAAATATTCTTTTTCAGACTCTTGCAGAGATGAATGACAGTTAAATAAATAACAACACGTTTTTCATGTTTTATCTTTAAATTTGAATATTTCAATCCCCTTATACCAAACCTATCCGCATTTCTTCTAAAACAGTACATACTACATGGAATATCTTCTAAAACTTCCACAGATAAATACCTATAACTTGTGCAAAAACGCAGACATATGTCTTTATCTGTTTCTGAACAAAAACACTCTTATCATCGATTTTAAAGATATGTATGATTTTGAATTGTGTTATTTACCTTTTTTAAATAATTTACTTACTGGAGGAAAACCACTTAAAATTTGCATTATTCACAAGGTGCTCATTAGGAGTACTCTGAATTCTTGAAATATGATAAACAAGAGAAACGGAAAGGCGGTGTTCAATGAACGCAAGTCTTTGAAGTCTAAAGTCTTCCCTTTACACTTAAATGTTGATTCTTATGTTTAATGCCTGGGTAGAATCTTATCTTGTCAGTGTCAAGTTGTTTACTGGAAGGTCAGTGTTTATTTTATCGATTAGGTGCTTGAATATCACTCTTGGGCAACTTATACCGTGGATATTTAGGTAAGTCATATACATGTGTTACATAAAATACCATCAACATATACTTAACATGTCCTAGTCAGTATCACTTTGAGAATGAAAGGTTTTATTAAATATTGTAATATAAAAGGACCAACTTTTAATTATCAGAATAGAACAGAATTCTTTTATTTGTATCTCGTACATCATTATACTTCACTGACCATACCATTTCCAAGCACATTAATGTCATACTATTTGTCTCTAAAAACTATTTATAAATTATTCATAACAAGAGCCATCACGCAAAAGTGACGAATGCCTCCGAAAAGAATTCTTAAGCATTGCAGAAAGCTATTTTTAAAAGAAAAGAAAATGAAATAAAAAACTTGCTTAATACTGTTCTTCTGAAAAGGAAGTGCTATTTAAAGCAAACTGACAACCTTTGGACATGGGTTTTGGATGTGACACATCATTTTGATGTTGATGTGGTAGACATTTTTGCCAAGTAAGGGGCCTTGGATGTGACATGTCATCTAAGTGGTAGAAATATATTTACATTACATTGTATTTAACAAGAGCTGTCACGCAAAACAACAAATGGCTCGAGATATGAAATACCAACTTAAAAGACACATTATATAATTAAAAAAGGAAGTAATGACCCCGGCTAGGCGTGTCGTGTATATATCATCATATCATGCTCTTCTTACTTTGAATACCCAACCTTATACTAGTCTGACAATGTATAAACATCTCAAACACATATATTCTAGATAGAATGATTTGTGAATTATTATTAAGTATAATCATATGTTGAATGTTAGTACGAAGAAGATAATCTATTTCAGACTTCTCTTGCAGAAATGTATATACAGTTAAATCAATAATAACACTATATTTGATGTTCATCTTTAAAAACAGGTTTTAAATCTTAGGAGTCAATTTAATAAATATTTTAATCCACTTATGCATTTCTTTTACAACAGTACATACTACATGGAATATCTTCTAAAACTTCCACAGATAAATACCTTTCACTTGTGAAAATACGCAGACATATCTCTTAATCTGTGATACTCAAATACTCATCGACTTTAAAGATAAGAATGTTTTTGAAGTGTTTTATTTTCCCTTTTTAAATAATTTACTTACTGGAGGAAACCACTTTAAAATTTGCATTATTCATAAGAAATTTATTTTCCTTGCTAATAAGGAGTACTCTGAAATTCTTGAAATATAATAAAAAAGAAGAAAATGGAAAGGCGGTGTTCAATCAACGCAAATCTTTGAAGTCTTAAATCTTCCTTTTACATTTAAATCTTCATTTTATGTTTTAGTATTATGTGATAATACATGGGTAGAATCTAGTCTTATCGTTGTAAGGTTTTTTATTGGAAGGTCAGTGTTTATTTAACTGATTAAGGGCTTTATATCACCCTTTGGCAACTTACACCGTGAAAATTTGGGTAAGTCATTATTTACATAAAATACTAGCAAAATGATTTAATAATTATACAAACGGTTCATCAAATTATCTTATGATTTCAAAAAAGAAACAAAATCTTTTTTACGTTACCATTAACATATATATAATTTCGATATAATATCAGTCTTAGCGGTGTTTATCGGCTATTTAACACCGGTTTTAACAACTCATTCGTGCCAAAACTCTCCAAAAAACTTGGATATCTGAATACAAAGTCTTTACGCAACTTCCGACGACGACAGACCCTATGACTGATACATCTGAACAAGGAGCGAAGGTCCACATTAAGAGTATAAGAACTATTGAAGCAATCAAGGACGGGTCAATATTCAACTCATGAATTTAAACTTCACTGTTACTGTTTTCAAATATGTTTGTAATTTCCTAGTAGTTCGAAATGTCTGTCACCCTCAAATAATATTCGTATTTAGAATTATTTATGACCTACATATGAACTTGTAATATTGAACTTAGTTTGATTCCAAAGCATTATAAAACCTAACATAAGCTGTCGCTTTTAACCTGTTCTGCCTAACAATTCATGTTACCAATATGATTAGCAAACTTTTATTATTTGACCGACATAATGTTCACATCCTGTATTTATACAACACAGTGACGTGTATTTTCTATAGTATGTTACCTTTTGTAATAGGATATATGCCTTAGATGACTACGGGACTGCGCACGAGATTTTTTTATTATAGTAAAAATGATTACTCAACTATAACGCTAGTATGGTACCCGCACTGTAATTGTGACACTCTCATATTATTCATCATAGTAGTTTTTTTTCATTCTCTTGTCTTGTTCAAATTATTTTCCAAATAAGCTATATAATATTTTGATTAACAAAGTTGATTCAGTCAAATTTGCTTGTATTCGTTATTTGATTTGCCATTTTCGTCCGATATACATACGCTCATTGTTAGTATCAGTTTCAGTGTCCGACCTACATGCTAATTGTCTTTACATAAATATAGTCAAGTAAATGTAGTTTGACATACAGTGTACCATTAAAAGACCTATACATGCATCTTTGAAAGTTTGTATATGTAATGTTCTGTTGAGAATGTATATAGTGTTAATGCACTGTTATTTTGTAATTACTTCTCTGCTTCGGATAGTGAATATTTGTAAATTTTGTTTGCATCATTATTAAAAATTAAATACGATAACGCAGGTGATTGCGAAACCAAGCAGATCAAGAAACGTAGATCTTAAGCATTAATGAATTTGTGCTACTTGATTAACCTGTCTTTTTGCTTTGCAAAACAGTTATGTTGTTGGTTTTAGTTTTTCTTTTCTTTTTTCCAAGAGTTTTGTAGTTTGGCAGTCAAGATGAATTATTTTTGTGTCTACATAAATAAATGTATTGAATTTTACTTAATGCTGTCATTTTATGTTATACATATAGAAGTAAAGGAAATTAAATCTAAGACTCAAGCAGACATGTGTTAACTATATTTCAACCTACTAAATAAAAAAGTTAGATTAAGAAGAAAAATGGAAAATGTCTATCGATTTTTATTAAATATATAGTTTAGCCTCAAAACTTTAATTCTTTGAAATGTATCTTGTTATGTATTACTCTTGTAAATATTTAGTCTTTCCACTATCAATATTTTATCTGAGCTGCATGCCTCCAGAAGAGCAAAATCCTATGACAGATTCGAAAGACCTTGAGCAAAGAGTGCCAAGAGTTTTATAAAATGTGAAAACCTTCATAATGTTAGCAACTTCTTTCATATCATATGCAATTAATGACTAATTCTGAATTACATATCACTTTTTTCTAATCGCGTGACTAACGCAGTTTGCATTTTGTGTTCTTTATCTTTCGGTAACTTACGTGACTTATAAGTGTCGTTCTACGTAAAAACCATATTCTTTGTTCGGTTGAAATTATTTTATCTTAAGTTTTTTAAACGACGATTAGAAACCGGAGGCATACCGCTTTAATTACCTGACTACATTATTAGTTTTACTTGAGCATGAAAAATTGTACTGTGTGGTACACCTACTTACATGCATATGTTACATAATCGAAGGATAGTACATTATACTTTATTTTGACAGAACTATAGTTTCATGTAGACACGTATGTGTATCTTAAAACTCTTCTTAAAATGAGTACCTTTTAACTATAAGGGTGGCCTTTGAGGTATGGACATGGGTCTTGAACGTGACATGATATCTCAGATTATGCACATTTATTTAGAACAAAAGTGTGCTTTGTTTCAAATAAAGCGCAATTTTGTAAATTCACTAGCATAACCGCGACAAAAAATAACTTTGGTCCCTTGACTGTACCATGACTCGGGCAGTAAAATCACGAATAAATTCAAATTATGGGTAGGGCATGGAAAGAGGTTCTTGCATTAATCGATACTAGTGTCATTTTCTTGAGTCGATAAAACCAATCCATTGAATTAATTTTGGCGTAAGTAAAAAATGCGTTGGTTCGGGACACTAGTTTTTGTCTATTATGTATAACTCTGTAACGACAAATTTAAATGATTTGTTCCAGATAAAGAAAACATAAAATGGCTTCTTGGGCAAGTCATGGAGCAGCACACGGTGGGACAGCGCCTGTCGGAGCCCCTGCTGGAGTGCCTGTTGACCTCGAAAAGAAAGAGGCTTATTACTTACGTATGCATTTGCTAATAGTAAAAGAGGTAACGACCTTGTTAAGGGCACGATTTGACCTGGCTGTGCCACATCAACTTCATGCAACGTTACAAAATTCTAATAGTATGACCACCTTAAATTATGCAAAGATAAATAATCTTATTAATAAAACGCAGTGGGGTCTTTTATTTCCGCAATACCATCAACCGTCTTCGGACACCTTTGACGTTACTCTCCTAGCTTGTCTACTTAGAAATATATGTGGACTTAAGTCAAAGTCGAGATGGTGGAGTGAAACTGTCAACAGCAATATTCCTGATAATGTTGTTACTGAGGAAGCTGACATAGCTCGATTGAGGAACTTAAGAAATTATGTAATTATATAACTTCTCCTTGATACGATTTAATAGTTAGTTCTTACCGTGCAAAGACAAAGTCTTTTTTATAAACATTTTTAACGTTATTTTGTTAATACTAATTTAACGTTTAGATATTTAAACTTGTCAGTCAATCTGATTAAAAGCTACAACTTTGATTAATGAATGACAGTTGTATCCGAAGAAAAAGCTGTTGTGTGAAAACCTGTCAAAATAACTAGATCTCAATCTTGATACTTTAATACAAATCAGTTAAAATATTTCGCAAAATTACCCGCTTAGAATTATGTTTTATTATTATATCAATGTTTCCTTCTAGTTTGAACTAACGTTATTTTTTTAAACAATTGAATAGATGCTGCACAAACAAGTTGCTTCTTTAGAGCAGAGTGAATTTGAAGATTTGTGGGACCTAGCAGAAAAGGTACGTTTGAATAATTTATAATTGTCTTTCTTACCGTTTATACATTAAAGATCAGTTTTGCATGCCTACTTGCTTGTCAATCAGCGATAGCAACAGCAATGTTGATGATGAAAAAAGAACAAACAATGAACTTACAGATTCATGCATTCTTTTATTTCCGATAAAACTAGTGTAAATTTATATAATATTAAAAAAATCTACATCATAGATGAATTTGAAGTTGTTCTATTTTTATGTAAATCACGGACTGAGCTTGTATTGATTAATAATTGCGATTATTATTTTTCATAGTAGGTTTTTTACGGAAACAAGCATATCTTTTACCTTTTTCCGGAAGAGATTTGGTAATGCAAATACGGTTTGTTTCAAAAGTTATTACATGTATATATACAAAAAGACCAACTTTCATTTGACGTCTGCAAGTTCAATTAAAGTCTAGGGATACCTAGCTATTTTAAGAAAAAGTCATATTATTAATAGCTGTAATTATGTTGCTATATTTTGATGCCCCCTTAACATTTTCATTACAATCATTGACGAAATTTCCTAGATATATTATTTTTATGTATAGATATTTCTTTAACTTGCATTAAACATTGATGAGCGCCGTCTTGAAAAACGTATCTAACATATTTTCCAACAATATAAACAAGTGATTTAAGTTTAGAAACTGATTTCTCGACTCGAAGTCAAACTTTTAAGTTGTAACCTCTTATCTTATCCCTTATAATACGCTGTTTATTGTTTTAATTTTGACATCTGAGATGGCGAACTCTTTATGTTTGATATTCAGATATTTGAAGATCAAAAGCAAAAAATTGTTGATTTGAAAACCAGACAACTTGATTTAGTTACAGATGGAATGAGAAGTATAAGAGGTAAGATAGGAGCTTCTTATGTTAAAAGTGCTTAAACCTGTACAACTGTGCTGGCTGCATACATTATATTGCAATAAAATTTCTTAATCAAATTAATTTGTCATTGGATTCTATTAGAACATAATATTACTAGTGAAGTACAACTATCAGTTGTAGTAGAAAAAAAGCTGCTGACCGTTCCAAGGCGGCGCCCCTCTGTGTTCCTCAAATGTATGTCTATGTTGTTTCTTACTGCTTTTTTGTGACACTTTTGTTTGTGTCCCTTGTTGTTGTCTTCCCCCTTTACCCCTAGTTTTTACTCCACTGTGCCCTTGAATTTGTGGGTCTATTATTCAATCATTTATTTGTTTTGATTGAATACTTAATCATTTACAAACTATTTATCATTTAGTGATTGGCCTGTCCGTGCTCTGTCTTGTGCCCTGTCCGGTTTTTGTTTGGGGTCTGTCTGCGCTCCTTGCCACTGGTTCTTGTTGCAGGGTCGTATGGGGACTGCGTTCATTGAACGCCTTTCCTTGATGATCTTGTTTATCTTATTTTAAAATTTATTCTTAAATTGTGGAATCTGACTATTTGATTATAAATGTTTTTACAGCAAATACAGAATTATTTCTTCGAGACTATCTAGACGATCGTCAATATGTTGAAACTGCTGCCTACCAGAAAGCAATGCTAATTTTAAAAGATAAACATATAGTAATACTAACTGGACATCCAGGTGAAGGTAAAACTACCATGGCTGCAAGACTTGCTTTACATGTAAGTCAATCCGCACGTAACTGCCTTAAACTTGCAGCGCCATCTGATTGGAGAATAATTGATTTGTCATTAAAACTTTTTGATACAATTATCATAGATGACATATTTGGTGCTGGAGCAATGGATCAGAAGTTGGTCGGTGACTGGCAAAATCATCTGAATGAAATAGTGAGAGCAGCAAAGAAAAAAGCTGTGAGAGTGATAATAACGTCCAGACATTATATTTATGAGGAATCTAAAGAGGAGATTGGTTATGTGCCAATGTTCGAGAACGATAATGAAGCTCTTCTGCTGCTTACATCTATTGAGCTTTCATCCGACGAAAAAACCAAAATTCTAAAAATGCAAGCGGAAAAAAATGAACAAATTCTGGTAGACAAAACAATACAAGAATGTGTTGAAGCTTCTAAAGGGCCGACAGAAGAAGTAAAAGATTTTTTGTTCGGATTCCCAGAATGTGCATCTATGTTTGTCAGAAACAAAACTATGCTCGACGAAGGTGCATCATTTTTTAAGAAACCGGCACAGTTCTTTAAAAAATATTTAGAAAACTTGTATAGAGGCAAGGAACAAGAAAAATTTTTAGCACTTGTAACTGTATGGGCCAGTGATGATAAAAAGGTCTCGCAAAAGGACTTGAGGAATACAGAAAGTGCATCGGACCATGTCAAGAAGGTAGCAAAAATATTTGGCCATAATTTTAGCCCAGACTTTCTTCACAAAATGCTATTGTCATTAGATTCTCACGTGGGAGGATATCTAGTTTTTATAGAGGCGACTAAAGAATATACTTTCAGTCATAATGTCATTGCAGATATGGTTGGTTTGGTCATTGGTAGGAAAAAACCAGAAGAAGCTGTAGAAATTTGTCCACGAGATTTTCTCATGGAGTTTGTGTCGATTGGAGAAGGCATGCGAGATGATTTTAAAGTATGCTTAATGGACAACGAAATTGATTGTCTTATAGTTAAATGTGTTAAAATGCTTTTGCGAGACAACTTTAAAAAATATGTTAAAGAAATCAAACTATATGACTTTCAAAAATTTTCCAGGATCGGGCAGAATTATAATTACATTTACATTATTCGCATGATTGATTTTAGTATCATTCAACACAAAGCTTTTAGCTCTGAGAGATTTGTAAAAAAGTTCATAGACTATATCATTGAAGAAAATCTCGTACAAAAATGTTTCTCTGTACCTGTCATTTTAATGATGGGGCATTTCCTTGACTATGGGACATCTATGGAACAACTTGATATATGTCTGATGGGATATGCCTGGTATATTGGGGCAACAATATTTGCAAAGGAAGTTATAACACGACGGATACTCGGAGAAGATAACGTCGACTTGGCTGTTTACTTATTGTTGGCTGTTCACTCAAGACAAAAAGATTCAGTAGAATTTCTCCTTCGCCATGGAGCAAAGGTAACTGCCGATGCGATATATATCGCTTCTCATAAAAGCATAGAGCTTCTTGAAATATTACTTCAACGAACAAACGTCAATTACAGAAGAAATGCAATCAATGGTAATTTTCCTTTAATTGTAGCAGCAGGGGAAGGTCTAACTGAAGCAGTGAAATGTATGCTTAACACGGGTGCTGATGTCAGAGTACAGAATAAAGCACACATGACGGCATTACATAAAGCAATAGAACGCAAACATAAAAATGTGAGCAAGCTATTGATAGATGCTGGAGCACCACTTAATATCAAAGGGGGTAAATTAAACAAAACACCATTGCATTTAGCTGTTGATATGAATGAAATAGAACTTGTGGAAGTTCTAATTGAAAAAGGTGCTTCTTTGATTGTTAGAGACCATAAAGGACACTTACCAATACATAATGCTGCTATAACAGGAAGAACTGATATTCTACGGGCACTTTACCTTGCGGATCCGAGCCAGAACAAACTACTTATTCCCTACTGTGGCTTTGATTATTCTAATATGAGCGGACTTTCATTATTTCATATTGCCGTTTTGAAAAATAATGAAGAGCTTCTAGATACTTTGATAGGACTAAATGCTGATCCAAATGTAAACAATTTCTATGATCAGACGCCTTTGTACTTTGCAATTATAAAAACAAGGGAAAAATTGATTAATAAATTATTAAACTATGGACAAACCGATAAACGAAAATCACAAAACGAAGGTTTTACACCTTTACATGCTGCTATTTTCAAAGATTTAGGTGACATTGCAAAACGTTTGGCTTTAGATGCCAATGTAAATGCAAAAGACAAATACGGGAAAACGGCACTTCATGTAGCATGTGAAAAGGTAAATGTTGAGTTAATAAAGTATCTTCTGGAAAAAGGAGCAAATCCAAGATTAATCACGATGCAAGGTAAAAATGTGTATCATATCTTGAGAAGTAGTGAGAAATTGTGTGCAGGAAGATCTAACGATGTTAAATGTGCTGAGCAGGTCATTCATAAATTTAACCGGAAGTTCGTTGCCAAGTTGTCGACAGAAAGAAATAATTACCTTGAAGTATTAGCTTTTATAGAAGATGATGTTAATTACTCAGTAGCGTGTGCTTCCATAGAAGATAAGTTTGTAAATCCAAGGAAACAGAAAAGATGAAAATAGGATATGTATCGAAATTAATTAAAGAAACGAAATTGAAAATCATTGAAAGAAGCCGTGTCTGTTGTTTAGTCGTATGTGAGGAGATAACGAATCAAATGAACAAATATCTACAAATGTGTGACTTAATTCTTTCATGTTATACATGCTTATGAATAAAGATAGTTATATACTGACAATAACATGTTTCTTCATACTTAACTTATTAAAAAAATTTATACATGTATATTAAGCTGGAATTGCATGTTTAAGCTAGATGCTAGAGTAAATGCATGTCATAACTTGATGTGGAAATGTGTTTTAACTTTAATTGAAAACTATGTGTATTCTAAATACAAACAGGCAATACTTATTCATAATTCACATAGACATGAATATGATGAAAATAATTTGATTCGTATGTATGATCTTTAAAGTAAAGAGTTGTGTATAGTTTTTTTTTATTGTGTTCCGTTTCTGTTAACGACATTTGAATTAAATCAAAGAAACCAATAAAGTTTACTAGTTTCAAAAATAATGTAGCATTGCAATCCTCTTACAATTCAATTATTGAGAATGTTTCTTTACAGGTCAAGTCTCAAACACACATTTCCAATGCAAATTAAAAAGGTATAGCTCAAAACGAATATGTTCAAACATTTATTTCTTTTAAAATGTTTATCTTGTTTATTCAAACACATGAAAAATTTAAGACATGCTATCATTTAGCATGATTGTATATGAATATTTTATTGAAGAATATAATGAGTAAAGATCCCTGTCAAATATGCCTATCCTATTAAGAAATTAAACAATTGCAGGCATCAAAATGAGCTGCAATATTTCAAAAGAATCAAATTTAAGAATAAAAATATAATGAGATGAAATAATGTTTCATGAAACAATTTATTTGTAATGTGTGATCTATGACTGATGTTTCAGATATTATTTCCGTATTGCCAATGCGTGATTTACGCAGCAAAGGGCTATTATTTGCATATATTTATACATATCTATATTTATATAACCCTTTTTAAAAAAGTTTTTCAAACGCTCATGAAACTCAACGTGAATCTGGAAGCATTAGTAACATTGTAATGTGTGATATATGACTGATGTTTCAGATATTATTTCCGTATTGCCAATGCGTGATTTACGCAGCAAAGGGCTATTATTTGCATATATTTATATACAGATCATATATATACATCAGGGGATTGCCAGAAGGGGGATGTGCCCCCTTCTGTTTTGGGGTTTGAAGGGGGGGGGGCCGAGTTCCCTTCATCGCCAAGAAAATTTTGGACTTCTGACAGGCTTAAAATGACACCAGGAAGATCAGTCAATATCTGTGCCAAGTTCGATTAGTATTGAAGCATTTAACATAGTTTCATAGCAGTTTGAACTTGTAAGAGGGGGTTTTCAGTGAAATGGACATTTTTCACAATATGACCATGGGGGGAAAGGGTTAACTAAAAAAAAGAAAAATGTTACAAAACAACAATTTTTCATCAAAATTAGATAAAAGCCGACATGTTAACATGGAAAAACTAGATTCTGGGTGATTCCAAAGTTTTTCATCATTTTTGTTAACCCTTTACCTCATATTTATGCAAAACAACGCAATTCCCCCCCCCCCCGCCCCCTTTTTAGGCCTGAAATAGTGAAAAGATGTCCTATCTGGGCCCCAAACACATGTTTTCGTTTGAGTAATTTTGCTTAAAAAGTGAGCACATTTCGGGCGCCGGACCCCACATAAGATACACCAGGTGGTTGTCAGAAGGGGGGTGTGCCGCCTTCTGTTTGGAGGGTTTGAAGGGGGTGGAGTCCCCCGTCATCGCCAGAAAAATTTTGGACTTGAGATGACCCCAGGTCGATCATCAGGTAACATGTAACCAACGCTGAAAAGCCTTTGACTCTATCTCAATCCCTTGAGAAGTTGCAGCACTTTTAAATAAATTTTGATGGAAAAAATCGAGGCAAAATAGTAATTTTTGGCAATTATGAGATATCCTCTCGTTGCCATGGTAACAGGAAATTTAAGACTGAGCATGTCGTTACAAAAGCAATGGTCCAGTCAACATTTGTGCCAAGTTTGATTAGTATTGAAGCATTTTACATAGTTCCATAGCAGTTTGAACTTGTAAGAGAAGGCTTTTCGGTGAAAATGAACATTTTTCACAATATGCTCATGGGGAGAAAGGGCTAACTAAAAAATTTATAAATGTTACAAAACAACAATTTTTCATCAAAATTAGGTAAAAGCCCACATGTTAACACGGAAAAACTAGACTTTGGGAGAGTCAAAAGTTTTTCATCATTTTTTGTTAACCCTTTACCACATATATACGCGAAACAACTTACTTTCCACCCCCGCCCCTTTTTTAGGCCTGAATTAGTGAAACAAATCCTATTTGGGTCCTAAACACATGTTTTCGTTTGAGAAATGTTGCTAAAAAAGTGAGCACTTTTTCGGCGCCGACCCCAATCCAAAATATACACCATGGGGTTGCCAGAAGGGGGGTGTGCCCCTTTTTTTTTGGGGGGGGGTTTAAAGGGGCGGAGTCCCCCGTCATCGCCAAGAGAATTTTGGACTTGTGAGAGGCTTAAAATGACCCCAGGTCGATCAAAAGGTAACGTGTAACTAACGCTGAAATGCCTTTGACTCTATCTCAATTCCTTGAGAAGTTGCAGCACTTTGAAAATAAATGTTGATGGAAAAGATCGAGGCAAAACTGTGATCGTTGGCAATTTTGAGATGTCCCCTCGTTGCCATTGTAACAGGAAATTTAAGACTGGGCATGTTGTTACAAAGGCAATGGTCCAGTCAACATTTGTGCCAAGTTTGATTAGTATTGAAGCATTTTTCATAGTTTCATTGTAAGAGGAGGCTTTTCAGTGAAAATGGACAGTTTTCACAATATGCTCATGGGGGGGAAGGGGTTACTAGTAGCTGAAACAAAAATAAATGTTATAAAAAAAAAATTTAATCAAAATAAGGTAAAAGCCCACATGTTAACATGGAAAAACTAGAGTTTGGGTGATTCCAAAGTTTTTTTGTCACTTTTTGTTAACCCTTTACTTCATATATATGCGAAACAACGCACTTCTCACCCCCGCCCCTTTTTTAGGCCTGAATTAGTGAAAAAATTCCTTTTTGGGCCCCAAACACATGTTTTCGTTAGAGAAATGTTGCTAAAAAATGAGCACTTTTTGGCGCTGGTCCACATCCAAAAGATACATCAGGGGGTTGCCAGAAGTATTGAAGCATTTTACATAGTTTCATAGCAGTTTGAACTTGTAAGAGGAGGCTTTTCAGTGAAAATGGACATTTTTCACAATATGCTCATTGGGGAAAGGGTTAAATGATAAAGTGTATACGCTGACCAATAGGATCTATAGAGAGAAAAAAAGTTTTGACATGAATTTGTTGTTCATTTATAATGTCTACAAATTTAATATATTGTATAAATCATGCCGACAATTGAATTTAGTAAAATCTGCTGACCAATTATAAGAAATATTAATTCAAATTTATTTTAGCCATAAAACTCTTCTTATTCTATATGGTCAGAAAATTTAACGCATTTACATTCAGCAAAATATATTGCATAAAATCATCACGTCCATTTAATTTTGTAAAAAAAAACCCTGCTGATCAGCTAAGTATTAAATCAAATTTATTTAAGCTGTATAACTCTTAGGTCAAATTGTGTTTGATCTTTTTAAAGACTTTATTTCTCTTATAAAAGTCATGCTCACGTATGAATACAATCAATTCATTAATAACAAAGTTATAACCAATTTTAGAAAATCATTTATTTGACTTTCGATGTTAAGATCATTGATGAGAGAAGATTATTATCTATTTGGTCTACTTCACGGTCTTGTCAAAAAGATTGGTGTTTCCAAGTTTTAAGACAATCTTTTCATAAATAGCAAAAATTGATTAGGCGGGTTATTAAAGGTTATTAATGAATTCACACAGTTAAAAATTACAGGTGTGGTAGGCACACTATTCACCTATAGATAATCATCTGAAATCCTTTACACGGTAGAGAGTATTTCAGGTGATGAAGAATATTCTGGATAGGGTCAGATTTCACAGATTATAGCTGTTTAAATGGGTTTGTGCTTTTATCTCTAAATGGAACACAGCCAATTATATGTTACATGACTTGACTTTAACTGCGTAAAGTATAAAAGAAAAATAACTTCTCAAGTACACATGCAAGGTGAGGAGGCATTACAGTATTTTCCTCACAATGACATTTTTAATGTTACCCACAAACCTTTGTTTTATGTAAAGGGTATTTAGTGTACAAACATGCACAATAGTTTAGTTTGTTCTTATTTATGCAAATCAGTTATCATATCGAAAAACACTGAGAATCATAGGAAAAAGTATATCAAACATACACCTCTTTTTAATTACGGATTTGAACAGATTGTGGTATGTTTTCTATATAAAGCAAACATTAATGACTATTTATTGTAGATGGATATCTATGAATGAGCACAAGAGATATTCTCATTAACTATAATGCGAAAAATGCGATTAAAAAAATTGCTAAATCTCAGGTACGAAAAAGAAACGTTTTGATTTTCGCTTAATTTAACCCGTCTTTTAGATTAAACGTCTACGGAGTACGTTACAAATTCATTTTGTGTATAACATAGGAACTCACACAAAGCACATTTCGTGAGAATAGAAACTTTTGTATATTACATACTTTTTTGTATTGAAGAAATTAACTTTGACATTAAGCCCATCGAAGTTTTGAAAATACATACATTTAACCATATTTGTTTGTTATGTCATATCTTATTTTTCACGAATATTTGATAACCACGTGAAACAGGGACATTTCTGGAAGTAACTTTCAGAATGTATCGATAATGCCAAGTTGATAAAGAGTAGGACAGTACGGTCTCCCGTTAGGGTTACCAAAACACACAGATTATCAAGGCAATGAAAACACAAAATACCGATGGTAAAAATTCGAAATAACGAAACCACGAAACCACGATGGTATAAAGACGAAAGAAAATGATGACGAACAGGAATAGGTTTACCAAAACACACAGATAATCAAGGCAACGAAAACACAAAAACCGATGGTGAAAATTCGAATTAGCGAAACCACGAAACCACGATGGTATAAAGACAGAAGAAAATGATGATGAACAGCAGATAGAACGATCAAGGTGAAAAATGTTAAATATCGAAACAGCAAAACATTGAAGGTAAAAGGTCGAAAGAAAGATTATGAAAACACAAAACTATGTCGAATTTATTTTCTTGACATTTCACCGCACTTCTTGTTGCTGCCGCTGTTTTTGTTACTGTTGCTGTTGGTTGTGGTGTTGGTGTTGTTGCTGTTGCTGTTGATTATTTTCATTCATAATTTCTTTTGTTATTATTATAAAGATGCTCATCATCATTATTATTATTATTATTATTAATTTTGTTGTGAATCTAAATTTCCGCATTTTAAATTATTATTATCATAATTATTACTATTGTTATTATTATTTTATTATTATTATTAGTAGTAGTAGTAGTGGTAGTGGTAGTGGTAGTGGTAGTGGTAGTGGTGGTAGTAGTAGTAGTAGTAGTATAATTATTATTATTATAGTTCTTGTTGTTGTTTGTTTTCGTTGTTGTTTGTATTATTTTCATAATACTT